CAAAAATTTGTAATGAAATGAATAGTTATACCTAAATAAGATTGGCTAGTAATAGAACAAGTCCAAATGTCTGTAGTTAATGCAATTTTTGAAGTAAAGCTATTAAGATAAGTAAAAATGTCTTTTTTACAATCAGTAAATCTGTTGATAACATTATCCTTTATTGTCTTTCTGCATGGTATAACATAACGAGAATCCAATGAATGTACTAATTTTTTGAACTCAACTTGCTTAACAACTTTAAAAGGCTGTAAATTAATAGCAATCCAGTCAACAAGATTAGTTGTAATGTGTGCTTGTTCATGTTTGGTATAAGGTCTGAACCGATATGAAGTGAGTTTTGTTTATTTGTTAGAAGTGTTGGAAGTATAGGTTATAATATGTTTTTTTGTAAATGGCGGCGTGAAGTAGAAGTAACACAAGAAGCAGCAAAAGTTGCATAACATAATTTGCATTTATTTGATTTTAGAACATTATTTTCATCAACTATTTTCTGAAAATAGTCTCAAACATCAGAAGCTGTTTTAATTTTATTGTTTGAAGGTTGAGAATGGGTGGAAGCTAAAGAAAGAAAAGAATCAGCTTCGCTAATATTATCAGATGACATTTAAATTTGTTACACTTGGCGTAGTTTATCATTTATATAGTTTAAAAAATGCGTAAATGTAACATGTAAAAATACGTCTATCAAAAAGACCCCGATCCTATGATCAATCCTGTCGATCCGTCCCAAAAAAGATTGGTATAAGACCAGTCCTATGACCAGACCAATGGTCTTTTGGTCTAGATCGGATCGTTCCCATCCCTAATTGTAACAATTATGATCTAAATCAATAAAAAAAAAATTTTTTTTTTTAAAAAATTCATTTTAAAATCTTTTTTAATCTCAAGAAAATGTCGTATGAAAGAATTTATAAAGAATTAAATTATGCTAAAGAAGAATATAAGAAGGCAGTGGAGAAATTGGAGGTGTAGGAAGAAGAAAAGGATAAGGGGAAGAAGTTCAACGAAGTAAAGAAGGAATTGATAAAGTTGAGAAATCAGATAAGACGTGAGAAAGAGGAGAAGGAAAAGAAAATTCTAGAGGGAATATAGGAGATTTAGAAGAGGAGAGAGGAGAATTGGAAAAGGAGAAGGAGAGGCTGGTGAAGAACGTGGACGATTGAAAGAAGCAGGTGGAGGAGTGGGGAAAGTAATGAACAAATTGCGTAAAAAAAAAAAAAAAATTATTTTTCGTTCATTTTATTTTGTTTGTTTACTTATTTATTCATTTTAGTGAATATTTGGTATACTGTTTCAATTTTGACTAACACTTTTTTTCTTTTAGTTGTGAAACATAAGTCTGAAGAATTAGAAAGTGAAGGTAAATTTGTTTTTTTTTCTAAATTTGACATATTAAGATATTTGTAAAACTGATTATATCTCTATTATCAAAAGGTGTTGATAAACGTGCATTAGATTGTGTTAAGAAAGTGAAAAAAACTGCATCAACTTTTGCCTTATCATAAAATTGGGTTGAAGAGTTGGATAATGATGACCTGGCTTTTTTAAATTGTCATCCACCAAAAAACCATGATATACCAATTACCTTGTACCATGAATTTTTTGGAGAATTTTTAAAAGATTGTAAAGATTTCAACATAAAAAATGAAGACAAAAACACAGTTTGTGACCTGCTATTTACAATGAGTGGTATTTTTGGGAGCCACAATGAGAGAATAGATGCATTCTGAAAATGGGCCAAGAGGTTTGTCAACTATGATACAACATCTTATAAATTCAATAGCAATGGTCAAGAAATTGATGGTGTATGGAGAAAAAAATACAATGGGAAAACTACTTTATTAACCATCTTTGAATTCAAGAATGAGTTTTCAGTAGCTGATTCTTACATGCAAGCAAGTGCATACTATTCTAAATATTTTGAAGAGTTATATATCAAAAAGTCACATATCCTTCAACACACTTGCATACCAACTTTCCTTGTTTACATTTATGGACCCTATTTTGGAATTGCTGGTGCAGTCATGGGACAAAGCATTACTATTGACCCACTTATAGAAGGATCACTAATATTAAGACATGGAAATGAGTCTTGGATAAACCAGATAACAAAAGTTTTTTGTGCATTACGAAAAGCTAATGACAATCTGGATAAATATTATGAAGAAATTGTGAAATCAGGAGAGAATCTTCAAATGGAAAGAAAAATGAAGGAACAAGTACGTTATCCTTTTTTAAAAAAATATAAATCAACATCTGAAGAATTTGTGAATATTGAGTATATAGATCGGATTGATAGTGAAAATAAAAAGCTTATTTTTTTGGTGAAGGAATCAGGAGTAAAGCGTATTCTGAAATTTACTACTTTATACAATGCAGATGTACATAAATTCTGCTTCAATCAAGGTTTTGCATCAGAACTGGTAAAAATTGATAATGTTGAGAACACTGACTTTAGATTTGTTATTATGGAATACCTTGATGGATTTAATGTTATATCTGACATATGGCATAAATTAAAAGAGAAAGAAAAGATAGAGTTAAAAAAAAAGATTTTAGATGTAGTAAAAATAATGCATGATAATAATTTTGTTCATGGTGATCTTAATTTTGAAAATATAATGGCAAAATTAAACTCAGATGGAAATTGGATTGTAAAATTTATAGATTTTGACTGGACTGGATATAATAGAGAAGCAGAATATCCACAATTCCTAAATAAGAAGATTCCTTGGTATAATGATGTGCAACAACTTGGTAAAATCTTTTATGATCATGATAATCATTTAATAAGTTATTACTTTAATAGATATAGATGATTCTTGTATACAATTACTAGGTTATCTATGATTTTTTATATCACATACTGTAAACAGAATTTAGCATATTGTTAATTGCTATTCTTTTATTGCTCATGTATTTTATTAAAAATCAAAAATTTTAATAAAGAACTTTGCTTTAAAAATATTACATTTTTTTTCATTATGGATTATTTTATTTCATCTGAAAGTTCAAATTGACACATATAGTCAAACTGACTTTATTGCAAAAACCTACAAAGTAAACATAAAATTATATATATAGGGATAAGTGTATATATGAAAAGTGATAATAAATATAATGGTTTTAATGAATATCAAAAAGCAATTGATTTTTTAGAAAAAGGATGTAAATGTAGTTGTTCTTCAAGAATTTCTAAGGAAGAATTTGCAGAATTAAGGGAATCCTTTCAAGCTCTTTCTAAAGTAGAACAAGACATATTTTTAATGGTCTAACTTAAGGCAATGGATGGTGGATTAATAAGCACTAGCAGACGCCTTAAAAATAAAACCAGATCTAATAAAAGAACTTTCTATCACTGGGATCACAATACACCTCTTTATCAAGAAACTTATCTCAATATGTTGGGAATTGGCAGAACTTATTTTGAAAATATTAGAAATCATCTAATAAACAATAGTCTTTTGCCAAGAATTCATGGTAATATTAAAAGAATGCCTCAATGGAAAACTAAGATAATAATTGACAAATGTGTTGCAGAAGTAGTAAAGAATTTTCTAGAAAATTATGCAGAAGTTCATGGCTTACCAAGTCCAAGAAGGAGTATCAATAGAATAACTCAATCAATCACATTCTTACCAGCTGAAATGAGTTATAAATCTGTGTATAGGAATTTTATAGCTGGTCTGAAGGAAGACAGCAAATTGAAATCCTTAAAATATGATGCTTTCAGAAAATTATGACATCAATTGACATCAGAAATTCAAATTATGAGTTCAAGGACTGATCTGTGTGATACTTGTCAACATTTTAGAGATGGTTTACATTATAATGCTTGCCAAGAAGAAGAAGCCAAAGATTTACTCAAAAGATTTAAAGAACATCTGTCTAAGATCAAAGTGAAAAGAAATTATTATAATAAAAATACAAAATTAGCAGAAGAACAAAGAAAATTAGTTAATCAACATCATTCAAAGGGTAAAGCACAATATTTCAGTATTGATGCTACTGCTCATTATAGTTATGATTGAGCCCAGAATGTTCATGTACCACATTTAGATCAACAAGTAAGTATTATTTATTATCTTAGTCCATGTAAAGTTCATTTATTTGGTATTCAAGATAAAGCAGTAAGGGAACAAATTAATTATGTTCTTAATAAGGATAAAATTATAGGAAAAGGTCCTAATGGCACTCTTAGTTTGATCTTTGATGGAATTAAGAAATTGAATAAAGGTGAAAAACATTTAAAAATTACTTGTGATAATGCTGGTGGACAGAATAAAAATAACACCACTATTTGATTTTATTTATATTTAGTAATTTGTGGTTATTATAAAAGTATTGAATTGAACTTTATGGTTCCTGGACATACCAAATTCAAATGTGATGGTAATTTTGACATGATTAAAAAACTCTATAGAAGAACAAGAGTAGACTGTCTAGGTCATGTGGTTGAGGTAATAAAAAAGTCTAGTCCAGCAGGATTGAACAAAGTTCAATGTTATGAAGGTAGAAGAGGTTTTCAATACTTAGATATTAAAGCTATTTTGGGAATTTATTTCAAGAAATTACCAAGTATACAGAAATTTCAACATTTTCTTTTTGAAGCATCTAATCTTGGTACAGTGAAAGTTCAAGAAGTTGCTAATGGACCTTTTACTGAATTCAATTTATTGAAAATCAAGAAAGCAGATATTTTTGAAGAAATTAGAGCTTTATCTATTTTAGTGTTAACACCACCTTCTTTGGATTACAAAAGACAAGAATATCTTTATCATAATATTCGCCCATTTGTGAAAAATAAATACAAAGATACTACTTGTTCAAGACCATCTTATGCTGGCAACAAATAAAATATTTGGAATAAAATAACCTTCATGACTTTGCCACCCATTAATCATTTTTCACTTTTAAAGTAAAAAAGTACTAAAATAATTTATATACTTAATATACCCTCATAAAAGTACATTAGTATATTAAAAGAGCAAATAAATAAAAAAAGAAAATCATGGTAAACACAATAAATGAATTCCAAGAGAGAAATAAACAACTATTAGAAGAAAATGAAAATTTAAAGAAGCAATTAGTAGATAAAGAAGAAAATCTTAAACTAAAAATCTGACATGTTACTGGTCAGTCTATTGATAAAAAGGGTGAAATTAGTATGTATGCTCCTACAGGAACAAAATGATATAAGAAATTAAATAAGAAATGAATGGATGAAGGCAAATTAAGAATAGCAGTAAATCCTAATGAAACTAGGGAATAAGCTAAGAATTGTAAAAGAATTTGATTTGATAACATTACAATTGAAGAAATATTAGAAGGCTTTATTGATAGTTCTAATGAATTAAATTTACAATGGTTAGATTATGTTGGAAAATGAAGAACTAATGAAAAACTTTATAAACAAAAGAGAGATTATGAAGGAAAGATTGAGGAATTAGAGGCAAAAATGGAGGAATTGGAAGCAAGAGTAGAAGAGTTAGATGATGAAGTATGAATGGAGCGAGAAGAGGCTGAAAAAGCACTAAATAAAGCCATGGAATGGAAAAAATAACAAATGTTTGAAACTGTGTTAAAACATGATGCTGCAATAGGCAAACTTCAAGACCGAATAGATTTATTAGAAAATAATTTAGCTGCTAAAAATCAGGAAACAAACTGAAAAGATTATTTAACAACCAAAGAATTACCAACTTTACTAAATAACAAAAAGAAACAGATTATGCAAACTCAAAAAATTAGTAAATATAGTAAAAGAAAAGACTAAAGAGAAGTTCCAGACTTTTATTGTTCAAAAGAACAAGTAAGCAAATATGAGATTAGAATATAGAATTCTGAAAATAACCCAGGGAGATGAACAAGAGTGTAACTTTTGTTTTCTAGATTTTGATGACCCAACTCTCCTTAATTTTGATACTGCTCCTGCTACTCATCAAATGGTGGTTCGTAATACTTCTGATGATTATTCTGACATTATCTTTATCTGTGGTGAATGTAAAAATGATTATGATAATAATACTCTTCCATAATGTGAGAAATGTGGTAGGTTAAAAAAGAATAGAAACAGATGTTTTTGTAGTCATTTAAAAGCTAAATCAACTAAACCACTTTCTGACAAAGAACTACTTTCACAAACTTTCAGTTTTCGCCTAGAAAATAAAACTAGAGAACTAGAAAAAGAGTTATCAATTACCAAAGAAGAATTAAAAATTAAAAGAGAAGAAGTAACCAAATTTCAAGAAAAATCTGAAGAGTGAAGTAAAAAGCAAAAACAGAAGTTAATAAATAAGGTAAAGGATTTAGAAAAAAGAATTAAACAACTAGAAGAGGAAAACAGGAAATTAAAAGATCAACAAAATGGTCAATTAACTGCTCAAATTGAAGTCAAAGAGACTAAAAGATGATCTTGATTGAAAATAAAAAAGTAGTTCTGTATAAATTGAAATTATCAAAGAAAATGATAGTTATTTTCTTTTTAGAGACTTTTACTTTTTGTTAGGTAATAGCACACTTTCATTTTGTTTTCTTTTTCTAACATTTATGATTTTTCTTTCTTCATGGTAAATTTCATAAGTAATTCTTTTTTTTTTTTAGATAAGCCTCAAGTGTTTGAGTATCATTTATTTTGAAGATGTAAGATGCAATTTTTTCACCTTGAGCTTTTTTTAGAATGCTTCTAATAGTGCTGTAATTCTTTGGTTCCATTGTAGATCTGATGTAAATTAACTTCATATTATTATTTTTATATATAGAGATAATCCTATATTAATCATGTTATGGTTTATATTCATCACATTCTGGTATAATAAAATGAGCATTAAAATTAATAAGTCCATAAGTTATGAACAAGTACCATTATTACTTTTCAAAATATCATCAGTCACACTGATCAATTTTACAGTCATATCACAATCAGCCTCTCATTCATATCACATAATAAAATGTTCACTTTGTCTGGTTTTGTTGCAGTATGCTTCAAATAAGACTCATACTAGTATTGATGTCTGTGATGATTATGATTGTTCTATTGCAGATTTTTAAGTTTATTTTTGAATTGTTGAGAAACATACTTTTGCATCTTGTTAAAGTTAGATTGATGAAGAAAGATTTTTGATTTGAATGCTTTTTCCGTTATATTTGTATTATATTGATCTTTATTTATTATGTCAATTGCTTGGGAAATTATGAATTTTTTTAGTTATTAGTAGTGTGTTACAGATTAGTCAGTTTGTTCTATCAGCAGTTTACGGTATTCTACTATATTTGTAATATTAAGTACAGAGGGTTATCAAAAGTTTCTGAATGCTATTTTTAGAACGCAATTGGTGTATATAAAAGGTAAAATTTATATATATTTATGTTAATTTATTTGTTTATTTTGCTTTAAATAACATTTTGACTTCAAATTTCCCTTTTCACTTTTTTTTTTGCAATTTATAGCTACAATTGTAACAATGAAAATAAATAATGAATTAACTACAGAGCAACGTAATGTAATAATTTATTATCATAAAAATGGTAATTCACTTGGCCTACCTAAAGCCTAAACCTTAACCCAATTGAAAATTTATGGGCAGAGGTGAAAAAAATATTAGAAATTAAAAGAAAAACCAATTAGCCTTGCTGACCTTAAAGGAAAGTTAAAAATGCATGAAAATCAATTCCAAAATGTGTAATTAAAAATTTAGTTAATAGTATACTAGTATGAATTCAGACGATAATTATGGCAGAAGGTAGCCTAATTAAATACTAGTTTAATAGTACAAAATGTAGCCTTTAATATCTATAAATAAAGTTATAATATAGATTT